CAGTCATGTTGGAAGAGGAAGGGGCCAGCTCCAAACTGTTCCCACAAAGTTGGGAGCATGGAATTGTCCAAAATGTCTTGGTATGCTGAAGCATTCAGAGTTCCTTTCACTGGAACTAAGGGGCCAAGCCCAGCTCCTGAAAAACAACCCCACACCATAATCCCCCCTCCACCAAACTTTACACTTGGCACAATGCAGTCAGACAAGTACCGTTCTCCTGGCAACCGCCAAACCCAGACCCGTCCATCAGATTGCCAGATGGAGAAGCGCGATTCGTCACTCCAGAGAACGCGTCTCCACTGCTCTAGAGTCCAGTGGCGGCGTGCTTTACACCACCGCATCCGACGCTTTGCATTGCACTTGGTGATGTATGGCTTGGATGCAGCTGCTCGACCATGGAAACCCATTCCATGAAGCTCTCTGCGCACTGTTCTTGAGCTAATCTGAAGGCCACATGAAGTTTGGAGGTCTGTAGTGATTGACTCTGCAGAAAGTTGGCGACCTCTTCGCACTATGCGCGTCAGCATCCGCTGACCCTGCTCCGTCAGTTTACGTGGCCTACCACTTCGTGGCTGAGTTGCTGTCGTTCCCAAACACTTCCATTTTCTTATAATACAGCTGACAGTTGACTGTGGAATATTTAGGAGCGAGGAAATTTCACGACTGGATTTGTTGCACAGGTGGCATCCTATCACAGTTCCACGCTGGAATTCACTGAGCTCCTGAGAGCGACCCATTCTTTCACAAATGTTTGTAAAAACAGTCTGCATGCCTAGGTGCTTGAATTTATACACCTGTGGCCATGGAAGTGATTGGAACACCTGATTCCAATAATTTGGATGGGTGAGCAAATACTTTTGGCAATATAGTGTATATGAAAAAATAACAGTTTTACAAATTTGGACAGCCTTCAGTTTGTTTTTTTCAATTGTAGTCTCTTTAAATTGGGTGCACCCTTTTAAAAAAAATAAAATGAAATAAAATGTCTTGTTTCCCAACGGAAAAAGAAAAAGGTTTTCCCTTTTTATCTCTGAGTTTTTCTTTTTAGTCCTACCACTCAGACAGGACGATGAATGCAAAAAAAGAAAGTCCTCTTCAGTCCAAATCCTTCTCTTCAGTCCAAATCCAGATGTTCACACGGTTGGCTCGCCATCTCCATTTAAGGAGAGAATCCAGAATCCAGGGTATCCAAAAAACCCAGCCTGCATAGTACAACAGAGCTTAGTTAAATCCATTCACTTCTTGTTCTTAACTGTACAGTTTATATCTCTCCAAGTATGATAAATTTCAGTGTGTAATGTAACTTTTCTAACTCATTACGAATTAACTGCTGCATTACAGGGTTAACATATAAAATGTTAATGTCACTGTTTTTCTTGTAAAGCAAATAAAATCATGAAAGCAAAAAATCCACATGTAAATAATGTAAATAACAGTAAATACCCACATCGGATTAAGAAAGTAAAATAATGTAGTCTTGTAATATTCTGTGCCTGAGTGCAACAACACTGCACTACATAAAACAATTTAGAAATTTAATAAGTTATTACACTCAACTTAATGTCTCTTTTCATTTGTACAATGAAAATAACAGGCACACTCTTTTCTCTATGCATAAACACTCACCCGCACGTGCGCGGCATAAACACGCACGCGCACACGCGCATTATAAACGCGCACGTGCGCTGCTTTTCCTTTCATCAGAACGTGAAAAACATGTGAACTCATGCTTCAACTCGGTGGCAATACACCACAAGGGAATGCTAACTCACGGAGCTAACCGCTAACTGTCTGTACTTTGCAGCACTCACCGGGAAAACTGGTAAGGTCCCAGGGTCGTTCCTCCGTGGTTCTCCAGATGCATAAAATCACAATGTCCGCCAATCTTCTCAAACACGAGGGAAAAAGGCTGTGCCCTTGAAGAAAGGGATAGGAAACCCCGTACCGTAGTGGGCGTGTCCATGAACATAAGCAGTGCGCATGCCCATGAGTTTACAGTTGAGGGAACTCAAAAAATCTTGTATAGGCGATTTAAAACTCCTTGTTAAACCAACTTCTGAGAATTTGAGTTGGGCAAACGTGTATTTATTTGTTAGATGTCAAATTTATATTTCTGAGTCGGATTACAATACAATTGTGTGTTAGAACAACAATTGCCATTTACTTTTTTAACAGTGCAACAGATCTGTCTGGAGATGAAAATACACACACAAATCAGCCCGATTTGCTTCAAACGTCACTGTATGCTCTGTCAAATTCCATTTTCCAAGAACTCCCAGTGATACCTGGAGTTTTTCTACTGACAGCAACCTTGCCACTCCCTGCAGCAAGCACAAAGACTGTGGTAACCACACCTAGTCGAAACGAGAAGATTCAGCTTCCCCCACAGCATGAGTATGCAGTGATGCTATAGTATCCCTTCCCACAGAATGGACCAATGTCTCTCAGATTTCACTCACAGAAAACTGTTTATGATCTATAAATTGGCCTACTGTATTAAAGATGCTTAAGGTCAATTAACAGCATTTTAATAATAAACTGCAATAATATTACTAAATGTAAATGAAAGGGGAAGATAAAAGCTGAAGGAGCATTCACTTGCTTGGTCTGTGTGACTTATTTAAAATCCACTTCCTTTGTTCAGGCTTGAATTGTTAACTACAGGTGCATCCGAAATGAGAGTATTGCAGTTTAATTTGAATATATCTTTACATTAATTTACAGATCATGCTTATTTCAGGTAAGCTGTGAAAGCTGTATGCAACAAAATTTAATTTTGTTTTGTATACACCCTGTGTACACCAGATGACAAGTTTGTCTCTAATATCACTGTGCTGCACAACATAGTTATGTCTTCAAATTGAAAAAGCCACAAGAGCAATCTGGGTTGCTTTCCCTGTGACATTGATGCAATAATTTAATGAAATGTCTCCAACTAAGTAATGGATGTATTGTATATGAATAGGGGTTTAATAGAAATAAATTGAAATGTACTGATCTCACAATGGAAAAATTCACCTCTGCATTTAACCCATTCCCTTGGGGAGAAGTCGGCTGCCATTGTAGATCTTGTACGTGTTGTTATTCCACCAAGTGGAATTCACATTGAAAGTGAAATTAAAGATCTATTTCAATAACATTTTCTTATCTGTCAGGTGATGTTCTTCACTTGCTTGTAACTCGCAAGATTAATGAAATTGGACACCATAATCAAATATGGACAGCTTTTAGGTCTCTATCTTGTTCAATTTTGCATTTCTCATGCACACTTGTATATTAAAATACAATTCCACACTGGAAAAAAAGCAAATAATGATGGTCAGGCTATTGTAGAGCTAGAAATTTGGAAATCTTGATTTGTTATCCTGTGTGTGTGTGTGTTTTTTTTCTTTTTTATTTAATTTCATTTTAACATCTAGAACCTTTAAGAAAATTGATATTCCATAGTCATGTATGCACACTGTGGAAACCTTCTGAGTTGCTCACCTTGGTGAATCAACCAGGAGGTATGGCAAGCCATTTAATCATATATTAGGGGCACCCATGTCAGCGGTGCAAAATGCAAGTATTTTAAACTACAATCAAATGCTTTTGTTACCCCAAGCGTTGCTTTTACAGGAGGAATTTAATTTTTTCCATATTCAATGATGTTTTTCATCAAAAAAATCTTGCATGTACATACTTTTTTTTTCAAACAGCCAATTAAGAGCTGATATAATAATTTCCAATTCCATGGTGTTTCTCAGGACTTTGGTAGCAGCATTTTAGATAAGCTGCAGCTATCTGATAGAGTTTCATATTGATCAGGTTCGCACCAGCAAAGATATTAATTTAATTTGCTGAAATCATACACTAGTCTCACCCTCTATTCTTTTAATGATTTTTCAACGAAAGTAACCTAGTCTAATAGCATACTTTGTTTGGTTGTTAATATCTGGTTTGAAATCAGAATGACTGAAAGGTTAGGGGTCATTCTAGGTGGACACCCAGGATCGATTCAAGCTTACCTTGTGACTTGATATATTCTTATTTTACCTTATGCACGTTCAGTTCAGCGGGACCTTACAATACTTGCTTATGGCTGGGAGTAGGGAAGCTGCACTTTGTGTCCTGAATTGTATTTCAATACTTTCCAGCATCGACATAGGAAAATAAATTGTGGAAGAGGGGTTCCAACAAGGTGGCCTGTGGTCACAGTGAGCCTTTTCTTGAGACACACCTGGATCGAGTTATCTTCTCCCCACTATCAGTTTTCAAGGAATATTCTGGAGTCTTGGATCTGCCTTAAGGTTTATTAGTGACCATTAAGACTGTCGTTTTTCTCTGCCATAAGCTCCCATATTTGGTCCGTCTGTGTGTGTGTGTGGGGGGGTGGACTAGATTGCACTGACATATGGCACACTTTCAACCTGTTAAAAATGTATCTGAATATTGTATTTATGATTTCAAATGGTGGCAACCAAAACCAAAAATGTAGGTGCTGCAAGCTAATTTTGACAATAAAGAGTTCAGAGCCTAAGACGTTTTAAAACTATAAAGGGTCTGGAAAACCTCTTAATTGTTAGCAATAATTGAAATGCAACAGTAAGAAATGTTTTAGGTTTTCTCGTTTTTCTTTTCTTCTAATGTATTCACTGATATATCACCCTTGTTTGTTTCTTAGTCTCAGAGGCGCTTTTAGTTGAAATTTACCGGGGTGGCCAGAGTGGGACCTGTGTTTTTCTTCATGAGTATAACCAGCTGTTAAGGCCCCCCCTGGCCACCCATCTAGCTCCACCCCTGCATAACAGGGACCAAAACCAGTTATACAGAGGCACTGGCCCCTGTTGACCCCTGACAAGAACCGTCTATGGTTACTCTCCCCCTCTGATGTTTATTCGGCTATCTTATTGAAATGTATTAATACTACTTATTAATAATACTACCATATATACTACTTTCCAATATTCCAGTTTATACGCTATTCTGTGTATTTCTCGATTTTGGATCAACACTGGTTAAATTACAGCTGGTTTGATTATGTGTTACTTTCACTTGCCATACCCTGACGCCGAGCACGCTATTTGACGTCATCGTGGGAGTGTCGACCATCGGGAGAAATGAACGGTCATCAACACAGCCCCGTCTGCGCCCATGTAAGTTACATCTTTTTCAATTAGCATTTGTTTTTTGTGTTTTTTAGCAACGGCCTGCTTTATGAATGAAACGCGTTTTCATATGCTGCTGCCCTCTCCGGGCGGGCGGAGCAGAGGTGGATTTGCCTTGTTTACCTCCCTGTCGCTGCCGCCTGGCGGGTTGCCATTTCTCGCCTGTAGCCAACCGTTGCCGAAGCCGAACGACGTTTTTATTTTTTTCCTTTAGCCGTGGCGCTGGCAGGCTAAGTGGACAGGTAGCGAATATAGCACCGTTCTGCCACCTCGGAGATTCAAGATGGGGTTGTTAATTGCATTTAAGTGTGATTAAGGGAGGCGGAATTAATGCGTGACAACTTAAGATTCAACTTTCACGCCAACACCCAGGCCACGTTCACCCGTAACTGTTTAAAAGTAGCTATTGGAATCCATTGAATTTTTAAAGAAGGTGAAGCTATTGATGTATTTAAATTATAACGCCACAATGAAACAGAAGAGGGAAAGGTGTGATACGAGAGAGCTTGTGGGAGTATGTGACAGATGGCAACTCAATACCTCCCATCTAGACGGGGGTGTCGAGATTTTTGCACCTGTATGAACCGTTTATTGCCGCACCTTGGATTTGCAGCTTATAATTGATTTTTACATGTATATTTTTACTCCCATATTTATTACACAGTAGTTAAGTTTCAAAGCATTTCTATTTTTTATTTATTCTGTGTATAGCTATATTTTAATATGCTAGTGAGACAGTTTGCTGCAAATGCTGATTATAGTCGTTCTTAATTCAGTTAGTTTGTGCTTCGATTGATTGGTGATTAAACAAAACGGGCATTTAGTTCCTTTGAAAGAGGAGGCTGTTATAAATCCCTTAATCTGTTTTTGCTTTTAGATTCTGCTTGCTCACCCCGCACAACAGCGGTGTGCGCTCTCACGTAAAATAAACGCCCTCCAGCGCACCACGTTAGCTTGTAATGCTACATATTAGTTGATCAGCTAAGCCCTCTGGGTTAAAATTGCGATGCTTTGATTTGAAATACTATAAGGGGTTCGTTAAACACTGTAAAACACATATAATCTGTAATAGTGTTTTATAGAAATATTGAATAGTTGAGTGTTTTTAAAGGGCCCGGCCTGCGAGCGCTGGCTAGCAGGCTGCTAATATCAATCAGTTCTTTCCCTCTAGCTAACTGCAGAGCTCACAGTATTTTCTGTAATTTAACATGTATACTTGCAAATTAACCCTTTCATCACTGTTAGATATTTACTATAAAACCTTGTTTTTAAAGTGTTAATTTTAAATCATACGCACAGTAGCAAATCTACATGTGAGGATGCGAGATGCACCTGTAACCTGCTGAGCTATGAAGGCATGGAAATAAACAGGCTCCTAAAATGGAAAAGCTACTGTTCTGCTGCTGTATGCCACTTTAATCAAAGCGACTTGAGTGGCGTTTATATTGTCACTTCACTTTACATCATTTACAATAGTCATAAAACATTAATTAATAAAGATCAAACGTTACCACCCATTAATAAAACCATTTTCATATTGCAGATGCCTCCTGTCACATAACATTAGACCAAGCATCTATTTCTTTTGGGTATTTTGCCTTTTTTGTTGTGTCATGATCTTTTCATTACAGTCATTTTAGTATCAGAGTTAAAATCCATCACATATTGCAGGTCTGCTTTGATCTTTATTATTCCCAGCAGATTGGCTTGATTGTTTCACCTCATCTGATGTTATCAGCCCTAATGCACACAAAGCAGAAAGCTCCTTCCCTCCCCTTCTGTTTTCTTTATTTACTTTATTGCCTGGTGGTATTTTAGTGTTATCAGGCTGCATTTGTTAATGATAAACATACATAACTGGGAAGTAATTGTAATTGTTTATTTAGCAAATCTCTTTGCCTAACTGATTAGATGTTCTCTCTAATCAGAACATGCGTGTCTCTGAATCAAGTCCGAATTTTTTTAATCATAAAGTGAGTCTTAGAAAAGCATTGCTAGAGATGTAGGATGCTCCCTAAACTAGAATTGGATCTTTGTGAAGACTGGGATATTCACTTGCAAAATACCCCCTAACTATTGTATTTTTTTTGCCAACTCAAATACAGTTTTGTATTTTTACATTTTCTCCAATGCCCCATTTTCCAACAGGGTTTGCATTTAAATAGTTTACAGAAATTAGAGAAAGCACAGAGTTTATGTTCTGAGATGCATATTAAAGGAATAGTACACCCAAAACATGATTAGCCTTCATTTTCTACTCACCCCCATGCTGAACAACACTCTGGAGTACTTTTTTGATATCTCAAATGCATCTGGAGATCTGGGAGGCTTCTTGCTGTCTGCTGACATTCAAATAATGGAGGTCTATGGCGCCCGAGACAGAAAGGTCCATAAAAGTCCATAAAAACGTGTCAATATTCCTCCATACTGCTCGTCCAATGTATTCCAAGTGTCCTGAGTGGGTAGCGTCCATAATTTACTCGAAACGAAGTCATTTAGAATGTTTTTAGAGCATAAACAGTAGTGTATAGGATTTCCTAATAGCGCCCCCATGCGCGCTCACGGCGCTACGGAAGCCGGCAGACCAAACCAGCGCATTCAGCTCGGCAAAGAACTCATGCTCTTCCTCAACACTGAAGTCCTCAGACATTTTTCTTTCGTTGTTTCTTTCTTTGCACAGGTAAACAGCACATTTCTTCTTCTACGCTTGCATTATCGGCAGAGCAGACGCTGAATGCGCACTTCCTTCCGGTTTGGTCTGCCGGCTTCCGTAGAATCGTGAGCGCGCATGGGGGCGCTATTAGGAAATCCTATACACTACTGTTTAGGCTCTAAAACGTTCTAAATGACTTCGTTTCGAGTAAATTCTGGATGCTACCCACTCAGGACACTTGGATTACATTGGACGAGCAGTATGGAGGAATATTGACACGTTTTTGTGGACTTTTGTGGACCTTTCTGTCTCGGGCACAATAGACCTCCATTATTTGAATGTCAGCAGACAGCAAGAAGCCTCCCAGATCTCCAGATGCATTTGAGATATCAAAAAAGTACTCCAGAGTTTTGTTCAGCATGGGGGTGAGTAGAAAATGAAGGCTAATCATGTTTTGGGTGTACTATTCCTTTAAAGCATCAATCCCAACTATCAACCACTTACTAGAAGTTTGAATGGAGCAGACATGCTGCTGCAGCAAATAATCAAAATGTTTTAATTAACAAAATCTTGCAGTTGAAATCTATACTTTTTTATCTAGCTGTCATGTCTGTTTGCATTTGTTAGCACACATGACATAAACGTTGGATATTCTTCTTTAAGGTAAACAATGTGTGATTTACAATATATTCTTACAGTTTCATCACTGCTGCATTTCATTATTCAGTTTGGCTTCTATATGACAGAGGATTAACATCCAGTGAACATCCTCATGGGTCATTTATGCACTATTAATTAACATTTCACACTTAATTACTCTAAAGGTCCTTTGAGGGCTGTGCTCTTCAAAATGAAAGAGTGAAGCGGATTTGGCTCCTTAATTTTAGGTTAGGGATACCCTCCAGGGCTGTAAAACTAATGCTTAATTTTTCTTTTTTTCCTGGCAAAGAAGTTGGCCTTGCTAGCTTTAAAGTAATTGTGGTCAACAAACTTTGTGGAGTATGTTAGCCTTAGGTTTCAATGCTCTTTTGGTGACACGGCTTTCAGAATATTAGGCTATGTTGACAAGTTTCTGTTTTAAGATATCAGTCTATGGCTGTGTTTATTTAGAAAAAATTAATTAAATGTGTTAAAAATGATACAGAATAAAAATGATACAGAATAAAATATTGAGTTAAAAACCTAAATTGCATTAAAAAAAACATACTCTCTTTTCACAGAATTTACTGAATTCCCTCCCGTTCTTTTCCTCTTGTTTTACAGGATGTGATTTCTCTAAGTTTCCAAGGAAACGGTGGGCTAAAGTTCAAGAGCTGTTTGATTTGGGAAAGTCACCCAGAGGAAGCCGGGCCGGAAATCGGCTCGGATTGCTGAGCTTTTCTTTCCTTCTGAACTCATAGATGCAGAGATCTGCTGCAGATGACCACATGTAAGTCCTCCAGCCAACACACACACACCCACACATTGCCACACAATGGATTGTTTTTGTTTCATTATTCTAGATTAAGGCAGCATTTATCTTTATTTGGAATTAGTCAAGCTCTTAACAATATTAGTAGAAATAATCCTGAATGATGGTGTTAGTAGTTTAGGAAGCAAACGGTCTGTGTTGAATGTCTGACTTAAGTAAAATGTTAACTCAGCTGCACATGGCGGTGTGCAGCCGATGTGACATTAGAGCGCTGCGTGCACAGAGTGACAGGTGAATACTCGTTGACCTACTTTAGACTTCAGCCTGAAGGAGTCAGATGTCATTGCATTTTCTCTGCAGATGCAGGATTTAGTGCCACATCTGTGAGACTTTCAGCTTGATATCGATTTGGAGCTTCTGCAATACAGTTTGGTAATCAGAGTACTGCATGCGCTCACAGTTAACCCTTCTGGGTATGGGTGCATCTTAAAGAACTTAAATATTGTTAATTAGTATGAGTGGTTAGTTTAAAAAAGGACTCGTGATATATATTTATTACACATAGATCATTTTCTGTGGTTGTTTGGTTGGTCAGAAAATTCTACCATTACCTCAGAATAATTAAAGAAATGTTTTTGATTATGACATGTTATGTTTTGGCTAAACAGTGGCAGTTAAACAGCAGACAGTCAATGTCATCCTCCAGAACAAATAAACCACAAAGGTCACAGCAAAAGATGCTGGCTTTTCAAAGTCCTTTGTTTAAACACGGATGGAAACTGAAGTGAGAGGAAAAAATGTTGTCAGGAAAAACACATCCTTTTTTTTTTTTCCTTCCACCAAGCTTTCCGTTATGGATACAGTGATCTATAAACGGTCAGCCGCTTTGGCATTGACCTTCTGGGGCTTGCCCTACTTGATGATGTCATTAAAGGTCTGTCACTTCAAGTCTTCATCATTACGTTATGTTAAGCATGAATCACTTAAATTACCAGAAATTAAAGGTTAAAATATTAGTTTTACTTTTTAAAACGAATCACTGAAAGCTTGGTTTTATTGCTATGCAGCTGTAAACATGTTTTTTTTCTTTCCTGTAGGATTTATATAGTAACTATAAGCCCTCTTATATAAGTCGGTGTGATGTATTGCCATAACAACCTGAATGCAGCTAGCAGGAGCGCAGAAAGCTGTTCTGACCGATGATTGGTGTGCTGTATTAAGCGCATGCAGCTGAATCATGTTCATACTGAAAGCTTGGCTTTAATGATGGGTTTGTTGAAGTTTTCATTTGCTTCCAGGTGTGTTGATATAGGAATCAGCCATGAGAACACCAATAACAAGCAAAGAAACTTTTAAATATCTGCTTCAGTTAGAGTGTGGGTACCAAGTGTGTACACACACACACTCACACATTGATGTGTTTTCAACAACCCACCTCAGTGCTGTGTGATCAGACTGTAGATTTCCCAGTAAAGCCAGCATCAAATGAGTCACAGCACATCATTGTTTTGGGGTTTTTTTTGTCTCTAAAAGAGAACTTTTTCTACTTTGACTTGTTAAACAGTACTCATAGTGCTGAATCAGATGTTTGTTTTATTTTATTTTTTTCTGGAAAGCATTCTGTGTATCATAGAGTGAAACCTCCACGGCTCTTTGAGACTAACTGGAACATGAAGGTTACTTTCTCCCCTAACACGCCCTAACCGGTTCATTGAAGCTCAGCGTAACACCGTGCCTAGAAATGAGTCGAACAGGCCAATTATATGATCCAAAAGGCATTCTCTGCTCACAGCCCATTTTACTCTCAGCTAATGTAGCTTCTAAGTGCAGACATGCTTTGGTTTTAATTTCCTTTAATGACAGCTTATGGAGGCCGGACCTTACCAGCTGAACTTTTAATGGGATGTTTTACTGATGATATTGTGTTCCATTAGTAGATAAATTTGGTGCAAAATTAGAAACCACAAAAAATCTTAGTTTAGATGGCACCGGTGGGAAGTGTCCACAATCATCATAGACATGGATTTCATATTAGTTGTTGGCCTTTGATGATGGATTTTAGCCATTTGGTTCTGCAGGTGGATGGGGGATGGTTTTTTCTCTTGTTTCTAAACCATGCAGGATTTAATTTGATGTTTTTTTCATGATTTATTTTATGCTACAGTGTCAAAACCAATCCTGCATGATAAAATAAAGCATATTTTCAAAGGCGCTGATTTAAATTAATTTAATTCTTAATTTCGTAGTGATGCAATTGGGGTTGCAACTAACGATTATTTTGCAAATCGATTAATTTGCTGATCATTTTTTTTATTGGTTAATAATCAGACAGCAAAAGGTTCCTTAAAGAAGATGTTTTATGAAATTAAACCAGTGAATTTAAAACTTTACCTCTAAAGGACAGAGCAGATTGACAGACGAAAATGTTTTTTTTTTTAAACAATTTTGGGATAATTTCTGCTCTAAGTAGGTTGGTCTGTTAACTAAAGGCACGTTTTAGAGTCTCTATACTCCAGTTAACGATCCAGTCAAACATTAATCATTAGATTTTGTTAAAATATAATTTTTGTTTGAGATTTGCCCTTCCTATTTTTTTTTTTTAGTTAAGACAAGTGTCTATAAATCAGATTTCTGTTAAATACCCAGCTTTAAGGCATAGTTCTCACATTTATATCGGATTTGAGGTCAGGTTTGGTCCGAAAGCTAAAAGTTAGCATGCTTAATCAGCATCTACACTAGCTAAGATGAAAACAGCTGTTTCAGTGTTTCAACCATTCAAAGCCTAAGGTAGAAGGAATTTGGTTGGGATGCTCCAGAGTAACTCAGGAACCACCAAAGCTCAAGTCAGGTCCACACAGTAAAAGTGAGGAGCAAAGGAGAGCCTTTCAAATCTAAGAGCTGTCAGTCCCCATCAGTCAGGCATGGTGATGGTAGGATCATGCTGGGGCCTGTGTTCTGCCTTCATGTGAGCTGACAAACCGCTGCAAATTGTTGTCATAAAAGCAATGATTATAAAATGGGTCAATCTGATGATGAGTACATGTACATTTCTGACCTGGACTCCAAATCTTGGCTTTAAAGGCCAACTTTGTCATTTGAGTCTTTAGTTTCATAACTAACTGTGCTAACTGCATAAATATATTAAATTCTTCAGTCCTTCACTAGGACGACTCATGAAACAATGTGCTAACATTCTGCAGATGAGGGGAGCAGTGACAGCTCCTGAAAACTGCGTACGCCTTGTTTTTTCATGTTTGTATTATTAGCTGAGACGGCAGCTCTGAAGTCTTGTTAATGTTTTCCTGTCATTTCATCCGAACACATTGTGTGATTAAATGAAGACTCATTAAGCAGGAATGAGCTGCAGCCTCTTAAAGGAATAGTACACCCAAAACATGATTAGCCTTCATTTTCTACTCACCCCCATGCTGAACAACACTCTGGAGTACTTTTTTGATATCTCAAATGCATCTGGAGATCTGGGAGGCTTCTTGCTGTCTGCTGACATTCAAATAATGGAGGTCTATGGCGCCCGAGACAGAAAGGTCCATAAAAGTCCACAAAAACGTGTCAATATTCCTCCATACTGCTCGTCCAATGTAATCCAAGTGTCCTGAGTGGGTAGCATCCAGAATTTACTCGAAACGAAGTCATTTAGAATGTTTTTAGAGCATAAACAGTAGTGTATAGGATTTCCTAATAGCGCCCCCATGCGCGCTCACGACGCTACGGAAGCCGGCAGACCAAACCGGAAGAAAGTGCGCATTCAGCGTCTGGTCTGCCGATAATGCAAGCGTAGAAGAAGAAATGTGCTGTTTACCTGTGCAAAGAAAGAAACAACGAAAGAAAAATGTCTGAGGACTTCAGTGTTGAGGAAGAGCATGAGTTCTTTGCCGAGCTGAATGCGCTGGTTTGGTCTGCCGGCTTCCGTAGAATCGCGAGCGCGCATGGGGGCGCTATTAGGAAATCCTATACACTACTGTTTATGCTCTAAAAACATTCTAAATGACTTCGTTTCGAGTAAATTCTGGATGCTACCCACTCAGGACACTTGGATTACATTGGACGAGCAGTATGGAGGAATATTGACACGTTTTTGTGGACTTTTATGGACCTTTCTGTCTCGGGCGCCATGGACCTCCATTATTTGAATGTCAGCAGACAGCAAGAAGCCTCCCAGATCTCCAGATGCATTTGAGATATCAAAAAAGTACTCCAGAGTGTTGTTCAGCATGGAGGTGAGTAGAAAATGAAGGCTAATCATGTTTTGGGTGTACTATTCCTTTAAAGTTTCCACCTAAAGGTCTGATTAGGTCATGTGGTTGGTTCTCTCTGACACTCTTTTCTACCCATCTATTGTTACCATTCATTAATGAGTGGATGGTTTCACAAGTCAGCTTTTACCTTTCTGTTGCATGAAGAATCTATTTTTGTCTGTTTGTGCTTCATTTAGCTTCTCCTGAGTTGTGAGTCAGAAGAGAAGAGGCTGAGCTGATGGTAAGCTCTGCCACACTCTCTCCTTCTTGCCTTCTTTCTAAATATGCTGATGCGTTTTGATCGAGTAAAAAGCAAACTGTTGTTAATTAAACCTGATTTCAGGTTTAAAAATCCGTGGAAAAGGCTTTATATTTCAGGGTTTAACTATGCTATGTTTAGTAGAAGATGCAAAGGGGAGGCTGCTACAGATGGAGGGAGTCCTTGTTCAGCTTAGAATTGGATCATAGTTTTTTTTTTCTTCCATTTTTTATTTTATTTGGAGAACATATTTTTATTATTTACTTTTTACTGTATGCTCTGTTGTCTCTTAATTAGCATCATCTGAGCATTTAGTAATTTCCTCCTTAGTTAATGATTTATTCATTGAATGCTTTCTGAAATGTGTCCATTTCTAAGCTCTCAAATAATTTGGCTTGGATATTTTGGGGAGAAACGCAAACAATGGCGAAAACATTTCAGAAAGTATTTCCAATATTTTAGTTTTTTTTAACAGTCTAGTCTTTGGATTTTTTTGCATTGCTGGGTTGACACCTCTAAGACATGCCAGGTTGTTTTAAACTAAATTCACTTTCAGTAACGCTTAAATTGGGTAAACCTTGATTAAAATGCCAACTTCTTGTTTTGTAAAAAAATCAGACATTGAGTAATCATTGCAAACATTTATTACCTAAACATTTATTACCTAAATCATAATTGATCACATAAAGTGTAAAGGCAACATATAAACAAGAAATAAATCTTGTCATAACCCTGATGCATAACACACACTCCAATGGAAACCTGCCATCAATTATTGTCAAAATGGTCTGAAATAAGTTTTAACTAAATTTGTAGTATTTTAATTAGTCATTTCCATCCTGTTGGCTAAAGATTGCAGAAAGGATCTCATCATGCAAAGGTTGGTCAGGAGGAGAAGGGGAAAAAAATAGGTGATATAGGCAGACGGCAGGATCAATGGATCTGGACACATTCTGGCATCTTTATTCTCCAGATGTCTGGACTACATATTACAGATACAAGATTGAAGACTTGCCCTAAAACAAAAATGTCCAGACAATTAAACCCCTGCACCCCCACCCACAAAAAAAAAAAAAAAAAAAGTTTGGGGATGGACTTGTCACACTTAAGTTTTCCACTAAACCTACCTTGCAAAGATAAGAAAAGTTTTGCAATGATCTTAAAACAACCCAAAACACATAGGTCTGCGTTTTCCTCCTAGTCTGACTCTAACCTTTCTATGTTAGGGTGAGGAAATATTGTGAAAGTTTTACTTGGTAATAGACTAAAGCCTGTTTTGTATTTTCTCCTGTAAAGATTTTTTTCTCCAGTAAATGGCACAGGATGTTTGTCACATTAAATTTTAAAAGGTTCTTAAAATATTCATAAAGGTCTCATTTTTCATTTCATAACTCTGGCATTTTAAAAAGGCTATTTAGATATCTTACATCCATTGTGTTGAAAAGTTATCCTCTTTTTTGACATAAATTGTAATAAACCAAATTTTAAATAAATGCTTGTTAAATGGAAGGGCCAAACGTGATCCTTTATATGTCAACCCAGTTTTTTATTGCTTAGTTTGTTTGTTTTTTTTCTTTTCACATTGTGCTTCTGCTTTTTCTGTTCCTCACTGCTGCATGTTGTAATGCGTTTTATTTTCCTTTTTGTGGTAGACAAGCATGACATTGAGCCAAGCCACAGATGCATGCCCACTCTAAAGCACCAACTGAGCGGCATCCCCTCCGCTTCCCGGCTTTCACCCGGCCTCTCAGAGGAGGGTGTCGACGGGGCGTAGCTAGTCTCCTGCAAACCCCCACGTAGAGCCTCGCTGTGAAACTGGAGGGGCCCGATGGATCAGGGTAGTAGTGAGCAGAGTCCAGATGAGCCGGATGCAGGAGGCCGAACGGAGCTGGAGGTCGGCAGGAGGGCGTCGGAGTCAGAGCACGGCTTATCCAAAATCACCCATAATGCCCTGGAGAACATGGGAGCGTTGGGGCATGGCCTGAAGCAGTTCTTCCAGCCACAGCGCCGACGCTCCTCCGTTTCCCCGCATGACTCCGCCTCAGCCTGCGCGAGCGCCCCTCCCTCCGAGCCTGCCGACGTAGGGTCAGACGTAGGGGACCCTCCCGGCTCCTTGGCCCCCTCCTTGGATTCTGACAATCCTGCCACTTCCGCAGCTCTGAGCCGGGTTCTGCAGCAGATCCGAGCCCCCCCCATAATGAAGCGAGGCACCAGCCTGCAGAGCCGGCGCAGCAAAGCAGGGAGCTCTGGGGAGGCTCCCCAGAAAGGGAGCCCACAGATCCATCGGCGGAGCACTCATGAGGCCCTGCTGCAGGCTGGACGCCCACGTTCCTCCTCCACCACAGACACCCCCACCTGTCCTGCTCTGGTGGACGTGCTGCTGACCTCTGGGTACCACTCTACTGAAGAACCTGACAAGGTGAGTGTCTCTGACCCTCAAGGTGCTCCACTGCAAGATGCACAAATGCATTCTACACAGCTTCAAGTGTTTTTTTATTAAACATTGTCTTCAAATGCCTGATATGTTCAAATATAGATCGTTGAAAAGAATCACTATAAATCTTTTTTTGAACATATTTACCATAACTTCTCTCAATTGGTTTATAATGTAAAATCCCTCAGTTCTGTGGCTCTGATGTAACAACTATTTCACAGTATGATTATTTTTTCAAGACACTACGGGGAAAAAAAAAAACATTTAACCTCTCAAAACCCACCGGGTTGCTATTTTAAAGCGTTTACAAATAATAACTCAATGCATGAAAATTACACTTGTAAAATATTAACCAATATAGACACGTTAGACATCGTTGAAAAGCTTAGATTCTCCTCAATTCAACAATCAAGTGCATTTGATGGACATAGGGAGCATCAAAGCACAATTAACACAGATATAGCAGCATGTCAAAATGTACTATGACAAAGCAGCCACAACAAGCAAGCATGTCTGTTCAAAAAAGACATCATTTTCAAGAATAAAAAAAAAACAACTTTGAGTATTGCTTGAACTGATGCAGCTTGGGTGTTTTACTCACCCAATATTTATGTATATATTCAGAAACTAGAAGGTCTTAGCTTTCAAATAATGTATCATACATGTAATTTGGGCTTACAGTTCCTAAGTTATTTGGTTTCCATTTGGCTATGAAAAATAGGTGAGAATTTCCCAAAATGAGGTGGCTATTAAGAGGTTGGAAAAAAAAGTATTAAAAATAATTTAGCCTTTCTTTGACAACACACACTATAGCTGTTGTAATATGAATGAAAGGCTTCCTAAAGATTTGGTGTCCATAGAGCTAAGCAATCAGAGAGTTTGTTTTCTGGGAAAGAAAGTGGTTTAATTTAGCTTTTTTTTCTTTCATCTTCTTTTTTTTTAAGTTAAAAGCATAGAGGTTTTAGAGGTGACTCATGCACACCAAATGAACTGGGAAATCATGTTAAGTCTCTGGACATGTCCTAGAAGCACCGCTGAGTGGGGAGATGAGCTGTCAGTGTTGGAAGGTCAGAGATTGCCTTTGACTGGTTTGTCACTATGTGCTTTAAGCCCTTCTAAATTTAGCATTTGCAGTCTTTCAGTGTACTTCAGGTCAGCAACGGCTCGCAGGGGTAAATAAAGTGTAAAGATTTGCTTCAGGTTAGCTGACCTTGATTAGAGAGATAAACTAACCGGGGTTTAAATGACAGATAACAGGACGCTCTCTGACTCGGCTGCACAGAGAGCCCATTGTCTAACGAAATGGGGGATTTGTTTTGATTAAATTTAGACTGTGTCTTGTTGGTGCCGATAAAAGAGCCTTTGTTTAGAGTAAAATAATGTGTTACTGATGACTTATTGATCTGGGAATTTATTATCTGTGTGACAGTAGCAGGGTGTTTTTTTTTAAGTTGTGGTAACAGACTGCAGCTCTGTGTGCGGACTGAAGGACGGGGAGAACTTAACTAAGCTCTGGGGGAGAACTGTTTGATGGTGCGCAGAGAGGAAAGCGTCTAAGAGTTTTAAAGCTTAGAGTTGCATTAAGAAGGGCACCATTAATTACTTGTATGCACTGGCACAGGCAACAGCTTTGATGTGCAAGGTCTGGCAGCTAAACCTACCTCTACATGGTTCCGGGATGAACAGTTGAGAAACAACTAATACCACAAATAAAGCTTTTCATCAGGGAGATTCTGGTAACTTTTAAAGTTAAAGCTATGGGTGAGAGATTGTCAGTAATTATGATAAGTTTAAGATCTACCAAAGCAGAGATGAGAGTAATGACAACACAGCTGTCATTGTATTTATATCTACCCATCAGAGCTCCATCGGTTTTATTTTCCTGTTTTGTCTTAGATTTTTATTTCTTAACTTTTATGTAGCTTAATAGTCTATATTATAAGTGCTGATTGTACACCTTCACCATTTAATACCTCTGTAGGTTCTGTTATTTGGTGCCTGCAAACTTATTTCGTCATAATCTACTTTATTAACATGAGGTTATAGCCATATGACTCCAGTAATTTTATCTACCAATCAGACGTTACTTATCATACATATTTAACTAAATAAGAGTATATTAAAACCAAACAGATTGCATCGAAATAAAATGCAAATAGGGTTTAAAGCAACAAACAATATACAAAGTAGGGGTGGGCAATATATTTATAAATATCAAATATACTGGTGTGTATTGAGTTTCCCTATGCACAATAGTTAAAATGACTCAAATTTCCATGACAACATTAATCCATCTGCATCAATTTCACTGAGAGTTTTATTTTTACCTGCACAGTTTGAATGCATCATAAACCCCTCCTCCGCACGCTACAGCAACCGGCAAACGAAATACGGCGACAGCAGGTGTTTCGGCTGAGCAATATGGTAGTGGTTTGGATTTCACAAAAGGCGGTCATTTGTAAGACATGTCGTAAAAACCACTGCTGCAAAAGTTAGCAGTGCAAATCTATTCCACCACCTACAAATAATCCGCTGCTAAATGAAGAATGTAAACACCACGTCTGCATCTCCCTACACACCAATTAAAACATTAAATAAATCAGCTGTGCAGCCGATGACGTTGGCCTAGTCGTTTGAAAAATCGATCCAATATGAGCGACAAGGGAAGAGATTGAGGGAAATCAGACGCTATTTATTAAGTTATTTTAAATATTCTTTAGCTGGTGATGTAATGTGGTCTTGTTCAGAGGTTTTGCAGGCATTTTCTAAACATGGCAGTGTTCTCAATTTTGCAACTTTTTGTGCTTCTTTAACATTCCTATTGTGCTTGTGCTGCCTAAAAAGTTTGTAAAAGGTTGGAATTATTAGATATTTTCTATCTATCTGTCTGTCTGTCTGTCTGTCTGTCGATAGATAGATAGATAGATAGATAGATGTAAAAAACGAATGATGTGCTACCTTTTAGATGTTTGTACTATAGAAGCTTCTCCTTAATCAGCTAACATAACGAACCTTAGAAACATGTTATATTAACCGCCTCCGGTAGATTTGTGAGACTATCTGTTCTAAAGAAAGAACCAGAAAGGGTTACATTTGCATCATTATGTAATCACAAGCAGCACTTTGCTCTGATGGCTTGTTGTCATTCGTAATGTTTATCAGGCCTGATTATGGTATGCTGGAACATGAGGTTTGCTGCCTTTTTATGTCATAGACGCCATCTACTGTTGTAAGTGTGTTATTACACCTGCATCTTAGATGAGCGGTTCAGTTTAGATTTTATTTTATAAACAGTTATGTTTAACTAATTAGGAGTTTTCTGTTTTGTAGATTTTGTGTTATTGCTGTGTATACTTGCATTTGAAGAGTTGCCTCTTTCCTTTCTATAAATCTGGAAAAGAATTCAGGATTTTTTTTAATGTGTTTAAGCAAAAGATAAGCAGTGCTTTTTTTCTTTATTTTCTTTCTTCCTTCTTGTGTTTTCCCTTCCTACCTTCCTGCCTCCCCATGTTCCTCCCTCCCTCGTTTCTGTCCTCCCTTTCTTTGCCATGTCCTCCTCTCCTCCTCGTATTCTTATTCATTCCTGTTCTGTTCCTGTGACCTTTACCTCTCTCCATGTCCTTCTTTTATTTAACTACTCCAGTCTTATCTCCAGTTGTTTCCTGTCTCCTTCTTTCCTGGCTGCTTTACTTGTGTCCTATTTTCCTTTCCTGCTTCCTTCTTTGCTTTCTTGAGTTCCATTTTCCTCCCCCTCATGCATCCTCCCTTTTTTTGTTCTACCACTGACACTGAATTGGTTAAAGTGTAGCTCCTCACTCTTCTTTCTTCACCGGTCTTCGGGTCATTAGTAAGAACACGATAGGGGGTGGGAAGGAACTTTGAACTGGTGTACTGAATCTGGACAGCCCTTAGTTATATGGGCGTCTTTACAGTCAGAAAACACACATGGATGATGCAAGTCAGAACTGACTACAGCCTTCCAAAAAGAAATATAAAAAAAAAAATTACATGAATGTATGAAGATTTATACACTTGCATGTGTCACACAGAGTACATGTAAAGAAAATAATATGTTATTCAACTCTGGGAGGTGGGCTGAGTGTCATGGACCTCTCTGATTGTAATGTAAAAAAAAAAAAAAAGAATTTATTTATGAACTGTATGTGTTATTTTTCTAAACAGTGGGATCGGTATGATGGCTCAGGTCCTGCAGTGTCACCCAATGCCATGCCCTACGGTGCTGAGGGCTATGACTTGGTGGACAGTACCCCAGACCCCCAGCGCACCAAGCAGGCTATCGCCCAACTGCAGCAGAAGATCCTGAAGCTCACAGAACAAATTAAGATCGAACAAAATGCCCGCGATGACAATGTGGCTGAATATCTGAAACTGGCCAACAATGCAGACAAACAGCAAAGCGCACGCATCAAACAGGTGTTTGAGAAGAAGAACCAAAAGTCTGCTCAGACCATCCAGCAGCTACAGAGGAAGCTGGAGCACTACCACAGGAAACTCAGAGAGGTGGAGCACAACGGCATCCCTCGGCAGCCCAAAGATGTTTTAAGAGACATGCACCAAGGTCTGAAAGGCGTTGGAGCCAAGGTTAGACCCTGATCTTTCTCCATAAAGAAAACATTTAGTTATTTTAAATTTTCTCTAAGTTGACAAAATGTTTGACCAGCGGTCTGTTGGTTTTAAACGTCACTCTAGTATTGATTCACATTCTGACAAGTAGAGACAAGTTTCACAGAAATATCAGTTTTACTTCCTCCTCCAAGCCACTTATTTCTGGTAGAATTACATTGGACAGTGAAGGCTCTAAAAGGGGTACATTCCTTTATAAAAAAAAAAAAAAAAAAAAGAACAAAAAGGTGGCTTACAAACATAATACATAATTTAACTGGGAGGATCACTTGACAAAATGGCCTAATGTTACAACCAGCTTCATGTTTTTGTACCAGAAGTTCTTAGGAGAAAACAACAAAAATGGCAACCTCTGCAGTTCTGGCTTTTAAACTTGTATATTATGTTTGTAATAATATAACTGAACTTTATTGATCTCACATTGGAGAAATTTACCTCTGTATTTAACCCATTCCCTTGGGGAGCATTCGGCTGCCATTGTGCAGAACTCAGAACTTCTGGATTCCAAGCGCAATGCCCCAACCACTAGGCCACCACTCCACCTGTCTGTTTCTTAACTTCACCTTAAGTCCTTCATACAGCTGACAGTGTCATCGCTGCAGCACGTGTCTATGGTGCAGACGGCAAATAGCGCTGTGACTGAAAAAAGTTACTATTTTATTATTTTGGTTCATTGAAACTCATTTTTTACATTCTTGCAAAGGTGCATCAGAGTGTGATGTAGTGCTACCTGTAACCAGCACATTACACTTTGCCACATCATTCCTCTCCGCAATTATGCACTTAACGTTGCTTTTATAGATACACTTAAAAATAAAATGCAGCAGGTTTGGTTTAATGTGACAAAATGTGCAGCGCTAAGCATTATTGATCCCCACTGACTTTATCTGACATCATTAAGCTATATGAATTCACAGAATCCATTGTGAAGTTAATTACGTAGCTGTTACTTTAAATTGGCCTTTAATCATTTATAAACAGACACTGACAGAACCATTGCTATTCACAGGTAACAGGGGGGCTGTCCAGCTTCTCTCAAGCTACTCATTCTGCAGCTGGAGCCGTGGTGGCCAAGCCAAGAGAATTTGCTTCCCTAATCCGGAACAAGTTTGGGAGTGCCGACAACATCGCAGCTCTGAAGGACTCGTTGGAGGAATCACAAGGAGAGGAGGGTGGTTGTCCAGGGGGGTCACGGCCTCTTGGAACAGGACAGTTACAATCCAGTCCCAGATACGGCAGCGAGGACGACTGCTCAAGTGCTACTTCTGGATCGGCTGGAGCTAACAGCACCCCTGGGGCCCCAGGCGGCCCCCCTAGCTCCCGGGGCAATACTCTTGATAACGCTCAAGGCTCGGGATTTGATGCTTTATTCCATGAGATCAACGAGCTTCGGGAAAACCAGGGTCGGCTAGAGGAGTCCTTTGAAAGTTTAAAATCCCATTATCAGCGGGATTACACGGTGATCATGGAGGCCCTGCAGGAAGAACGATACAGGTTAGCATACATTCAAGAACTGGTTCTAAGGTTGGTTATTAGTTCATAAATAAACATTGGTTTATGCCGGTCAAATTTTGACGGTGATACCAATATACATTCTGTTAGATGGGCAGAACATGCTGCATCAGATCAGTTACAGACTTGTGAATTAAATCCTTCTTGAGGAATTCAAAAACTGTCGCTAAACCAGTCAGCAGTTCCACTTCATTTTAAAGTGTTGATGAGGTAATGTTGATTTCATTATTCCATCATTTTGCATTAAAATCATGCAGCAGACATAACAGATGTTCTGAGTTATTATGAACCAAGCACAGTAATTTTTTTCTAACACAAATATCCTACATTTAGTATTTCCACAGCAGCCCTCTGATTAATAGCTAGTAAAAGCCATCCCCATGTGGTGATGTCAGAGGGAGAACACTTTATGAGCTACCTCAGCATTTTATAATGGAGAGGGGTAGAAACATTGTTCTAGAACATCTGGTCTGGAATTGGTTTGTATGGTTAAACCATCAGCATGTTTAACCTCAGGGGAGAGAAGTGATGCTGAGGAACATGGAGGCATCACACCTTCCAGGGCAGAGCCATCCAGAGCGGACCTCTAGCTAGAGGTGACGGCCAGTAAGCCAGAGGGTGACGGCTAGTGAGACGGCAGCAGTTCTGGTTGAAAACTCATGGCACAGAAACACGGTTTGCTCTGCCTCTGGAACAAAATGTATTTTTTAGGTTCTAGTTATTGCACTGTGTGCAGAATTATTAGGCAAATTAGTATTTCGACCACATCATCCTTTTCATACATGCTGTCCTACTTCAAGCTGTTATTAAGTTAATCAGGTAGTGTGCATCTCTTTAATGAGAAGGGGTGTGGCCTAATGACACCAACACCCTATATAATGTGCTTAATTATTAGGCAACTTCCAAAAATATAAAACTTTTATATTAAGGAGTCTTTTGGGTTGATTGAGAACACAATTGTGGCCTAATAATAAAGATAATCCTCAAAAATACAACTTGCTTAATAATCCCGCACACAGTGTAGTTTAAAAATAAAAATTTGAATATAATACTTTAACTGAACATGACATGAAAATGTGACAAGACATTATCTACTATATTCTTAAAGGTATAGCTAGCAACTCCACCCATCCTTCAGTGCCAGGGTTGCCCATCCCTAAGCATTAATTCCTTTAAACCACAGACTTATAAAACACCTGATACAGAACGCAGAGCCAGTAAGTCTCTACTACGAAGCTGGCCTCTGCTTTGGTAATACAGAAGCTAAAAACAATTAGCTTTGAATCATCATCCAGAACAGCAGAAATTTACGATCCAAACTCCACATCAGCCTCCAGATTTTTCTGTGTGCTTGAAATTATTACATTGATCATTAGTACTAACATTTTCGTCTACGAAAAATAGTCATCTACACTAAATATTACTCTTCTAGATTAGGATTCCTTTTTTAAATGGCATTTTTGGGTTTCAATTACCAAAACAGAATTACTTTTGGTTGATATTGTAATTTCTCAACATGAACTTGTAATAAAACAGTTAGAAGAAGACATTTAGTCCCTGATTTCTGTGTTTTGTTTTTTAGGTGTGAACGACTAGAAGAACAACTCAATGACTTGACAGAGTTGCACCAGAATGAAATCCTGAACCTCAAACAGGAACTGGCTAGCATGGAGGAGAAAATCGCCTACCAGTCTTATGAAAGAGCACGAGACATCCAGGCAAGCTGGACTTAATTGGACCTAAATCTGACACTTTATCATCATACATGTCTGATGCGTTTGTTTCCCCCTTTCCAGGAGGCGCTGGAGGCTTGTCAGACGCGCATATCCAAGATGGAGCTCCAACAGCAGCAGCAGCAGGTGGTGGAGGGGCTGGAGAACGCCACGGCACGGACTCTTCTGGGAAAACTAATCAATATACTTCTGGCTGTCATGGCTGTCCTCCTGGTGTTTGTGTCAACTGTGGCCAACTGTGTCGTCCCCTTGATGAAAACACGAAGCCGCACTTTTTCCACGCTGCTCCTTGTCATCCTGCTCGCCTTCCTCTGGAGGCACTGGGAGGCTATTTCAGAGTATCTGCATCAATTCCTGATAAACCCCAGATGACCTACTGGGAGGAACCAATCAAAGCAATGAAAGGGACTCTGAAGGTTGAAGGGAAGACGGATCCACTGAAGGTTGTGTCTTTTTGTCCAGTTCTCGATCATACACTTTCTCTAAAAACACTCAGGAGTGTAGAAGAAGTTTGTCACTTTACCACTTTGTGAAGTTTGTTTTCGGAAGTGGATAATCAAAAATAGAGGAGCTAAAAAGGTCTGGCATCACCTTCTGTCATGGGTACAATGGAGGCACGAGCAGCTTACCCTGGTGGGGGGCATATTTGAAGGAGGGCCTGAGAGAACTGCACACTGGATTTCTCTCTGAGTGAATTTGTTTACAAGTGGAAAAAAAAACCTTACATTGTTTTTCACCTTAGTTTTTATCTGTATTTTATTCAATTGGTATTGCTTTGAAGTCACTGCTATTTTTAATAAAGCTTGACCGGTTTTCTCTCTAACTGTAATGAGCTGATGGTGTTCTGTGGTTTTAGTGTCCCTGGTTTTTATTTTTATGTTTTATAAGAAAGTTCTCTTTTCAGTCTTTTTTTGTATTTAATTTCTCTCTTTTCTCATCATCACTGCATTTCAGCTTATGTAACAAAGTTCTCCTTCCAGGTCATCTAAGATCAGGGGCCTGTGTTTCTGTATCAGTGCTCTGAGCTCACATTTGTTACTGAGTCAAACAGCAGGGGGTTGTTGAATTGCTTCCTTTGGCTGCGTGGAGTCGATCACACTGGTTTTTATCACTAACAGGATGCTACTACCAGAAGATGTGACCGCCCTCCTCCTCTGACTGGACATCACACTTTTCCTAGTGACTCTTTCACTGTGGAAAGGATAATCTATAAACTGAATTAACATACTTGAAGAGCTGCTAAAATGCTCAAAGACTTAGTGCTTCCGTACTGTTTCTATTAGTGACGACAAAATATGAACACATTAGTTTGTTTTGTTTTTTTTATTTTTGAATAATAAATAAATTTGCTGTTTTAAAATGCTACGCTTTAGGTCTAACTTGCATTTGTTTGCAGTTGTCAACAACTCAATTGCATAATACATTACCAAAAAGAAAACCCTCTTTGTGTCTGTTTTATTTATGTTTAGATAGATTTAGTTTATTATCATCTGTAAAATATGGAAATGAATAGAAGTGAATTTATGGATTCCTGATTCTTACATTATCTGTAAGTTTCTTACAAAGGTAGTGTTCAAAATTGGTAGGAGGTTTATCCACCTTAAAGGAATTATAGGTGGAAGATATTAGATGTTTTCTGTGTGGTTTTGAGTAAAAATAGTAAGATTTATGGGGGCATAATGTATAAGTAAATACTCAAAATGTAAAACATCATCAGGTTGTTTTCATTTAAAACGGGAAAACGAACTTTATACTTTAAGCTGCTAAAATCCTTTGATTTAGGGATCAGAGATTAACACAGAAATGGGTGGATATTAGCTGGGTACTTTAGTAGGGTTGTTGGCGTTATGTAGCCGACTGCATTCAGCTGAATGATGTCCCGGTAATAGCTTTCTAACTGGGTTTAAAACGGTTTTTATTGATTAGTAATGGGTGGCTGTTCATTTTCAGTCCTACCATCGCACTCCTTCCTCTGGCTTTCTAGTAATATGCTTGGATACATCACTGTGGGCAGCCAAGTTCTTCAGCAAATCCTTTTTTTTTTCTTGTAATTGATCTTCCACATATTTTTGTATTTTTGCCCGAGACTGCAAGCTACAAGTAGTGACTGAAATAACTGATTCAAAATCTGTTATGCACTAGCACTCCAGACAGATTTTATTTAACGGCAGGGAATGAAATAATATAAGATAAAGAACTTTAGGATGTGTTTTGGCCTAGAGGCAGCTCATCTAAAAAAAAAAAAAACAAATGTTTTCAGTTCTATTTTGTTGATTAATGTTGCAGAAGAAACTATAGTATTTAACATTAAATGTCTATAAAGAATGAAAAAAACCCTACAAATATAGATAAAAACCCCTACAAACAGTAGAGTAATATTTACATTTATAGAATTAAAGTTTAGTTTCCTCAAGCATGCAGGACATTTCTTCAAGCTTTTGTCAGAGAATAGGCTGCTCTCAGGAGCTCGGTCTGTTTTAGTTTGGAAACCATGTTTTAATTTGATTATTCTCGCAGTTTCAGGTCAGATTACACATTTTTTTTCTTCCGTTTGTTGAATTCAAAAGTAATATGTCATGACAATTATTTAATTCATGTTTTAATTTCTTTCAGTTTCATAATCTTCCACCTTATTGTCCCTGCAGTGAGATTCTCTGATCACAAATATTTATGGTCAAGGCTGATATGAACAAATAACATATTACATTGTCTTTAACAGATTTGACACATACACTCAGTATTTGCATTAATGTTGATTTAATGGTGGATTCCATAGTGCACACACTGGCAATAAAAATTAGGCCTACCAGCCAGACTCACTAAGGCTCAATACTCTTAGAATGGTCCAAGCTAAAACAGAGTGATGTCCCGATTCTGACTGTTTGGTTCTCCATCCAATCTGCATTTTTAAATGATAAGTTGTGCCAATAGCAATCTGATGCCTACGTTTTCAAAGAAACTACCTCTGCCAACCTTTCTTGCTGTGGTTTCACAGCCCTCCTCTTACAATCTTTTCTAAGTGAAAAATCAAATTAGAGATATCAAAGCAAGCTATGTGACAACAAGAGTCCAGTTTATGATGTTACATGTTGTTTACAAAGTAAAAAGTGTTGCAACACAAAATCGGACATCTGTGCATGGTGTTGCACTTTGATTTACAGCAGCTTTAAAGCTTTGATGACGCTGAAAACTCTATTGGCCCGATCCTGGGATGAATTCCAATAATTTCCATTTTTCTAAAAACTCCTGTATTGGCAGGTAATACCGTTAACGAGTACCTGGTCTTGACATCCCCAGTCACAGTACAGGAGGCAGGCCCATAATCTAAAACTACATTTGATGTCCCTAAAGAACTGATGATATCAAAATTGCATCAGGCCAGGCTAATATAAGTGTTACAGTCAGTTTTGCTGTATTTGTTGTATTTATTGTGCATCCATGTTAGCCACAGTGAGATTCTGCTGCTTAAAAGGCTGTGGGATATCACAGCCCAGGATGCAGCATTTCCTATCCTCATCCAGTAGTTCACTCTCAGAAAGCATCGTCCCTTGAATTCTGATTGGTCAGGATGTGTACATGTCAATATGTAATTTTGTTAAATGGATTTTTATCTGGATCACTGAAGTAAGCGTAAAGAGTTTTGTCATTTAGAATAATCCAGAAGAAGACCACAAATCCAAAAGGTGTTGATTTGGTTATAAAATTAGTTCCCAGTACTTCGAATATTGCTAGTCTTAGAGGGATGCACAAATGCTGTAGATTAATAGTAATTAGTGAAAACAAAAAACTTGGAACAATCTCTACAGAAGGCTACAAGGCCTTTCCTCTAGATATTTTTTATACAGGTGGCTTTTAATAGTTTAGATTAAAAACCTGTTATAAAAATGACTATTCTTCCTTATCTCCTAAAATAAAGAGCTCATCTTGTTCTATGGGATTGTTATTGCATGTCTTCTGGAGCAGCTGATAGGCCTACAGAGGAAGCTTCACAGAATAATAATATTAATAATTCCATCTGAAAAACTCACACAAAGAGAAAAGACAATTAGGATAAATGTATTAATACAATGACTTTGTTTTTGGTGCTCAGACCTCTGCAGGAAACATAGCGTTTAATTTTGATAGATATGCATGAACAGGAGCAAAGAAGAGGGTTGTTTCCACCCAGGCCTGAAACTGGTCATGGAGTGGAGATAGATGAAGTTGGTCAGTCTGTAGACTGCTGGTTGGTGAGACGGTATGCTGAGCTTTATGGGGAGATTCAGTGGACTGCGTGAGCTGATGCTAGAGCTTCACTCAGGGACCTGGAAGATGGAAGTCCAGTTGGATAACACAGGTCAAAAGAACCTGTCCATGATGAGCAAGTATGAAGCAACAGTGGAGAGAAAAAACTTCCCCTCTGGCAGAACCAGGCTCAACATGGCGGGTTTCTGCCGGACCGGTTGAGATGAGACAGGGAAAGCAGTAAGAGTCTGGGAGGAATGACACTCTGATGAAGCTTTAGCTATGATGGTAGAGGAGGGGCTGGAGGTGGGTTAAAACGGTGTCATCTGAAAGAAGTCACACAGCGCATCCGCCGCCTGCGCACAGGAGCAGATAGGGGTGTATCGGAGGTCTTTTATGATGAGCTTTGGATGCCGATTGGCTTTCGCCGCAGGTGGATAAAGGAAAGAAATTAGTTTCTTCAGTTTAACTTACACCTAGGCTTCATAATAAAAAAACATCCAAAGACAGCAGTTGCAAGAGTAAACTCTGCAAACTGCAAGAGTAAACTCTGCCATCTGCAAGAGTAAACTCTTAAACAGTATTCTGTATGGGTGGATTCCACATGTCTGACTATAATTTTCTAAAATATTTTTTTTTTTTTCTTTTTAGAAAAGTGTGAGAGAAAATAAATATTTATAGGATAAAAAGAAGATTATAGAATCATAAAAAAGCACAGTCATTTTGATCCACGATTGAAAAGAGAAACGTTGCTCAGCGCTTAGTTTAGAAAAAAAAGCAAACATCCTGGAACATAAATAATTGTAGTGGCTTGATTAATTAAATATTAAACCATGATAAATGCAATCCTGGCTTCCCACCGCTGATCCATGGTCATTCCTCCATATTTTTTCCATGTTATCAGTGATCGTCTCTGGGCCCCTGCGTCCTGTCCGGGGCCGCAAACTTGTTGCACTAAGATAACAACTCCTCCCACACCGCCTCTGTCCCTTCTGTCCAGGTCATCCTCCGGCTGACTCATTAGGAGCGAACCATTAACATGCTCTCACCTGCAGAGCCTAATCAGCAGCTCGCTGTGCAACACCTGCTCTATTGGTATCAGTTGTATAAAGTGGAAGCGACACTCTTAGCTTCATCCGATGTGCGTTTTGTCTCCGGTTCAGTCTGAAAAACATGCCTCCCAAAAAGCAAGTAGCGCAGCCTGCTGAGCCGCAGCCCGATTCAAACAGCGCACCTGCAGATGGGACGACTGAGAAAAAAGAATCTGGTTTGTTAGCTTATATATACAAACGGGAACGTTTAAAATTGTTTATTTGAGCGGCTTCATTTTTTTTGTCCCTTCTAGGACCTCCAGTGGCCGTGCGTAAACCTGCAGCTCATCCATCCACTGCGATCATGGTGAGAGAGGCACTTAAAGCTCTGGATTCACGCAAAGGAGTGTCCTCCCAGGCCATCCAGAGCTACATCAAACAGAATTACCCCTCTGTGGATCTGGTGAGGCTAAAGAACTTTGTTCGCAGAGCCTTGAAGAAAGGAATAGAGAATGGGACTCTGGTGAGGCCTTCCAATGCCACCATCACCACAGGCGCTATGGGAAAGTTTAGGGTAGGAAAACTAAATGAAGCACAGCAACTTTCAATCTGATTAAATCATGTTTTATTAACTGTTTATTATATCTTGTGTGTGTGTGTGTATAAAAAAAAAAAGCTTGCACCTAAAGTTAAAGAGGCAAAGCCGAAGAGTGAGAACAGAGATCCAAATATGCAAAAATCTCCAAATGGAGGCAAGAAGACAAAGGCAGCAGGTATGAATTAAGTGAAATGCATATTTTCAAATGACTTTAGACTCATGGCATAGTGTGTTTGTTTTTTACAAGGTGTCACAAAGAAGAAAAAGTCTACGAATGAAGGGGCAAAATCTACCAAGGTAGGGGATACATTTACAGGGAAATGGAGTTTGCATCAAAGGATTAACTTGACTAAACTTTCCAAATGTTCAAATCATTTAAAAACTTCTTACACCTTTTGACTAGTTCTGGCTTTGCCTCCTGATAAACTTTTTTTTTTTTTTTTATCCTTCCCTTAGAACCCGAAGCCTGCGAAAAGCTCAAATGACGAGGGAGCTGCTCCTTCAAAGGTTCC